TTATGTATCAGTCCTCAAAAAAGCAACAACAGTCAATTGCACAATCCCAGCAGCAGCAGCAGTTGTCTCAGCCCAGCTTTCCGCAGTCGGCCACGTACGAACAGCAACAGCAGCAGCAGCAAGCTATTTCCGGTCCTGTTAGCACTGCCGGGCATGAGTTGATGTCTTCTCATCTCTCTTCACCGTCCTCCCCTTCCGCCAAATTCTCTCGCCAGTCGGGCATGGTACGACTATTTCGCCTTCTTTTCATTTCTAGGCAATGTTTTGTCCTTCTAAGATGTATTGTGATCAATTTTTGATGGAACTAAGAGACAGCATGTCTCAGGCTATTCAGGGGACAAAGAAACGAGGAAATCTGTTACCCCAGTGCTTCCTTATTGTCGGCGTTTTCCGTTCCACTCTCTTCTTTCCCACCCACAAGACGTAGTCTTTGCTACTTTTCAAGTGATAGACCCAGTCTGTTTTGGTGGAGTGGCCTGCCTTCCTAGCTTTCTTACTTAGTTCCACTTAAGTTTTTGGTACTCAATTTTAGCATCCTTTGAACCTTCCCACTTGGAGTCCTAGTGTTCAGCCAGAAAGAACTTAACACCGGACTTTGTTCGAAATAAAGTGGAAGATTTAGTTTCCGTCAGGAAGTCATGCTGGATTGCTTACCACTACACGGCTGTCAATCCAGGCTTTCTGTGGCCAGGCAGGAATTTAGAATTTTGGCCTTTAATAAAAATACCTATTACAATCTCTTCTAGGCGTAAATATTTCCGTTTAGTATGCCCCCTTGGTGCTTTGGGTACGTGTACGCACACAATCACACGTCATTTCTGGAACTATGAGCACTAAAAAGACGCGTTTGATTTTTAAATCGCAATTACTCGATAACGGCACTCTTTGTTGTTATTGGACCCCTACCCATTTGCCCGATTTAATGCCTGAAACTCTTTTGTTGGCTTATACAGTCTGTCATACCTTAAACACCTTCATGGCTACTTCCCTTGAGGTGTTATGAGCAAGCCTTTTGCACTGATAGTCGTTCCTCTCTGTATCGCCTCTACTACTTACCTTCGCATTCTATTTGAGTGTAGGAAGCGGCGAGTGAGGAGTAATTTGGTTTACTCTGCAGCTCAGCCACACGTTTTATCGTTTACAACATGACTTCAAGCTCAATTCCTGTTCATACGTGAAGAAACAATCTGAGATTCCCTACTTTTCTCTAGGTCTAATCTATATCTTGGCAGAACTTCAAACTGTGTGATAGGTAAAAATACTCCGACTCAGTTCTACACGTTTTCCCTCCTTATCGTTTCTATTAATCTATTTATCATATGATATTTTTTATCAAAACCCAAACGGCAGGACCGTCCGGACCTGCGTAGAAGTTGACTTTAAACCATTAGTGCAGAGACAGTTTACCAGCTTTGTTTTCTTTCCCCGGAAGACTGCAGCAGGGTCTTGACCTTGAGAGAGAAAAAAATGGGGATGTCCGACATCAGCCATGTTTTGTAATACACCTCAACAGTTCCAGCTGTTTATTAACAACAATTTAGGCGTGCATTTGTACTTTTCATCGAAGCAGGGGGCCCGGGCGCTCACCTCTCGGTTCTTAGAACCACATCACTTTCTCCCAGTCTAGTCTTGTCATCTAATGCACTTATTCACTTAAACGCAAATTGCTGCGCTGGCACAGTTTGCATATCACTTGCAAAAATTGCAATCGAAGCGAGGTCATTCATCGTGCATTTTGGATTTGCAGCATGTTGTTGGCCTGCTGCGCGAGCATGTATCACTCTCCTGACTAAACACGGAGAGCAAACTGTGAAACAACGTACTCACTGATGAGGAAAAAGAAACACCAACAGCTTATTACCAAAGCGCAACTTCTCGAAGTCAGTAAAAAACCGCATTCAAAATCTGCAGTCTTTCCGTCACAAGTATGTAGCATTATCACTGCCTCAGGTGGACCCTGTGATCACTTGCGTGTCATTTGGACTTCAGTGAGGAAAACCCGCGCGCTAGTTCGACCGTCGATTCCGACGAGATCCACCACGGGTTAGTGGTTCAGGGACGATGATGTTTGTGTGGATTTGCTTTCACTAAAAGTACGCTTGCGCTGCAGCTACCACACTCTTCT